TGTATCATGTGTTTACTATAGAACTCCTTTGTTATCGAGCATATTATTTTCATTATTTCCTCTTTCTCTGTGTGAATGCTAATTTTTTTTTTCTACTTCGTGGATCTCATAATCTTATTAAAATCCTTTCCCACTTGCTTTTGCAAGCTGCTTTATGGCGTCCAGAGGATAAAAAGGGTTTGAAGGCAGAACGCATTTTAAAAATGTGCAAGAAAGAATTCCATTTAAAAAATGTCGTAAAAAAGATAAAAGACTTCAGAAATAGAACTACATATACGATTTTGATGAGTGTTATTACTCGTTCTTATGCAGAACCTACATTAAAACGCGTCGAGAGGCATTAAGACGAATAATTCGCGTAGCAATGTTCTCGCGACAATTACGGTTCATCTCCTTTGTTGTTCTTGGCTCTCAACTAGCACGGCTACTCTCTCGAAACAGAAGAAGAAACACGTGTGCGAAAGCATAGTCACACAATGTAGCTCTCTATTCTTATTGCTAGCGTGTTTCCGTTGCATTTCCTTTTTCCCTCGCCAAAGTGCTCCTCTCTCCCTTTCTGTCTCCTGCAATTTTTTTAATATTTTTTGTCGCCCAGCTGTTACGGATTAACTTGGTCCGTACGATTATACCGTTGTCCCCTCTTTTTCTCCTCGCTTTTTCTTTTTATCTTCTTTTTCTATCCAGTGTTTTCCCGTTGGGCCTACGAAAAGTTGACGTTTCTCCTCGAATCGACGTGTCATTATCTTCCATCTTTTGCCTGCTTCTACCCCTAATTCCCTTTTCACAGTAACTTACCAAGCTTTCTGATTCTACGACTGCATATACTTACGGTATTAGGCTGAAAATTTTGTAATGAGCTGATTTGAGTAGCGTGCCGCGCTTAGCGAGTGCGGTACTACATCAATGATCCAAATTGACCACGTGTACGGCGGCCGCAGCTGCTCGCATCACGGCGCGGCGCGATTTAATCATCCGCCGACAGCCTGCCTGATCACATCTGCTCAGGTTCAACACCTTTGAGGAGGGCCCCGGCATCTCGCTGTACCAATCTGAGATCAACGTCGCCTTGGCTGTCGTGCGGAACTCTCTCTCTTTCACACACACACACGCGCGCGCACCGAAAATCGTACCACGTTCGCATGCGAGCTCACCGCAGCATACAAATATTGATGAATGCGGGATCGTGGCTTCATGGCCGCGGACAAGATTGTAAATCCATGCGTTCGCGAATTATAGTTGTGCGAAATCTCTAGTAAGTTGTTATGGTTTGAGTTTGACGGCCTAGATATTTGCGAGAAATCATATTAAATTCATATGTACGCAAATAAAATGAATGTGCAAATATTATAGAAGTAAAGGCTATTGACTCTTTGTTACAATCTTGTCACCTAGAAGATTACCTCAAGCTGGATTCCTGGGCAAACACTATATCCTTTTTTTCCTTAAGTCTCTCGTTTCCTCATTTTGCGAAATAAATAAACAATAATTTTACAATTTGTCTGTCTTGTGTAAATATGACTACTTGATAAGTTTCGTTTTATGGTGATGAAATCATGCTCGTTTTTAATTCAAGTTTGAAAAAATTTGCAAGAGAAACATAACTGATTTCATCTGGTGGTGACTGTACATAATTTTCAATTGTTAACTTCATTAATTTAGCGGTGACTGGTAGATGTAAGTGAAGTTTCATTCGCATAAAATAAAAAACACAATGAAAATTAATTGTGACTGCATAAAACTGAAAATTCTATAGATTTTTTTACCTTTGTTATTTATATTACAATATAATTGGGAGGTTGAACTTAATTATTTGAACTATGATGAGTTTTTAAATATCAGTGATAGTTTGAATAAGAAATAGTCTATTTATCTAGATAGTAACATGGAATGAGATTATAATATTGATGAGCCAATGTAGGTATTCTCTATAATTAATCATTAGGAAAACAAGTTCCAAAGCTGAAAGAGAAAGCTAGTATGTCATCATAATAAAAAAAAATCGATTCGTTACCCAGCAAAACTTGCTGATAATTAATCACAAGGCGCAGATAAAATAAGTAAGAATAATGGTTTGCTGGCTCTTGCAAGGTGGAGCGTGTGGCTCTCTTTATACTGCCTAACAAAGATACCATCTACGACTAATAAGTGGCATACGTCCAATAGCGTATTTGTCCTTTTTCTGAGGTTATAATAGAAAGAGACGAGTAAAAGTCGACTTTTTTGACATAATATGTGCAATAAAAGAGGCATCTTGAAAAATTACATACATATTGAAAAAGACCTTTCATTACAAGAGGAAACCTCTGCCTATTAAAGGATTTCTCACTTAACGTAACTATAAAATGATTCTGCTTGTAATAAATGTTTCAATAGGAATCCTTCTATTGTAAAAGAAAATTATTCTGGTATGCAAGAACGATAATTTTATATCGAAAAGGCTTTACTTCAGTTCTTTTTAGTACAAGATATATTAGATAGTACCAGCTCGATTTCAAATATTGTCAATATTAAATACAACGTATACGAATCCGAGAAAAAATCCATTACTTTTTATTTTCCAGAGGTGTAAAGATTGAGCGTTCATGATATCAGTGACAGATATTGTAGACAGAGAAAGTAATTGAACTATGTAATAAACTGTCAAGAAACAGCCATCCTCTGTAAAAAAAGGGAAGAATTTTATCCTTTATGTTTGCGTTCGTGATGCTCTCTACGTTTTTCCAATCTCTCGTTGGAAAGGCTTTTTATGATCTTTCTATGATGCGTTTTGTCCATTGCTTCAATAAACTTGTTCTCGATAATCTTTCAAACTTGCAAAGATCTAAAGCAAAAAAACGAAAGCGAAAACGTGTTTCTTGAACTGCACGTGAATATTCGCTCAAAGTTTGTAACGTATGGACGTGAAAACTCATAAAGATGCGAAGATTTCGTCGCTCAGCCAAACAATGAAAATTTTTCTGTTAGAAAAGGTATTTGTCATTTGAAATATTTAGTTATTTAGTTTATTTCCTTGAATTTTTTCGCTCTAGGTGAATCGTAATGATTTTACCTAACTCTTGCATGTGTGGTTTTTGCAAGGGAATAAAATGTGTAAAAATCAGTAATTATCAATAATAATATAAGTAGAAAATTTCAATGTCTGTAAAGAATTTTAATCATAATTTTGACTTTTTTTTAGGTTACTATAATTTTTGTGATTTATATAAGAAAACACGTTTGTAAACAGCTGCATTTCTACCAGAATTCCGGTATCTTGATAGAAGAAAAGCAGTTCACACTGACGAAGGAAATACATCGACCGTAATTTTTTTGCTACCTCGAGAGTGATAGAAGTTGGACGACGACGGGAAACGTCGAATCTCGAAATGGGTTAGTTTTATTGGTTCCCTTTTTGTTCGGTCTGTTGTTGCTACGGCGAAAGGAGACTTTGCGTTTGCTTCAGATAAGCTCATCTGACCCTCCTTCTAATCCTTTCCATTAGATACAACTCGAATGGGACAGCGTTTGTGGACTTTGTTTCTCAATTCACGATCACACTTATCGTCTACAAAGCTCGGACAATCTCGACTACAGTAATACAGAGATATGGCATTGTAAAAGATATTTTTCATTACATAACAAATTTCAGTTCTACATACAAAACTAATAACGAGGTCATAGATAATTATGTTGGAGATATAGTATCCTTCGAAGAACTTTGAAATTATGACAGACGCAATTACTCGGCTTTAACATTATGAAATATTGCATGAAACGTAATGCAAAAGTTTATGAGAAAAACAAGTTACATTGAAATGAAGTTGTATAATGATCGTTGCAGAAGTATTATATATTTTTTATTATATATTTTTCGATCGTAAATCGAGAAAAACTTCGCTATTATTCACCATCGCTTACTGCTAAACAAAATATAAAAGGACCGTTGACTTATTTTCAAATTGACAGCCATACGACAAAAGAATTTTAATGAAATGCTATATTAAATCAACAAACCATTATTCACAAATGTTGGTAATTCTTTTTGGATCCATTGTAGGATAAACTTGTAGCATTACATTTATTTTGTCAAAACTAGATAGTTCAAATCTTTTGAAGAGGATCACGAAGACAAATAATAATTATTTACTATTTTAATGTAAGTTTTAGTCCAATTACTTATATAATAAAAATCTTACAGAAATGAAAGTAACTGTTCTAATTTAAACAGTAATGACTTGAAGAATTTGTTTTTGAAAAACTGGTAGCGACGTAAAACATATTCTCTTCATTTTCGCATAGAAATTCCCATCAGGTAGAATATGATACATATATGTGAATATGATAGATATACGTGAACCATTGTTTCCAGTTATATAAGGTTGTAAAATAGCTATAAAAGATAGTACGTCTTTCGTGCACTGGTAAAAATGGAAAATATGCAGTATTCGTTTGACCGTCGCATACAAGGACCATTTTTATAATCCACGAGTATTATTCATTTTCATAATAGCGTTGAGGAAAAATCTGAAATTATGCAGAATGTAGAAAAGGTCAGTGAAGTGGGCAGAAACGTGCTTAAGTAACTTACCAGCAGTCGACGAAAGCTGCAAATGAAAGAACTTTCTCTACGAGGAAGGTATCTATAAAATCTGAATGATATGCTAGAAATATTTTTTTTAAAGCACGCGTGGCTTTCATGTTAGAAAACGTTCAATTCAGCTTTACTTTAAAAAACAATAAATACGATTATTAATGCGACTGCTACGAAATATATAGTGTACAGTATGTATAAATCCCATTCGCTTCTAACTTGTTGTACTGCAGTTATACAAAAATAAGTAAAGCCTTTTTTAAGCTATTGAAAATAAATGTACTATTTTCTTCTTGGAGTGCTGTTTCAGAATTTTTGAATGAAAGCGAATGATCACTAAAAAGATATATCTTATACTAGTATTCATTGTTACTTAAGTTCGTTGAATTTAATAAAAATTTAATGAAACGAAACAACAGTTATTGGTGATTTTACATGTTTATTCATTATTGTGTGTCTACACATACAACAGAATTTATATAGCTTTATTTTATAACGGTACAAAAAAGAAAACTCAAAAGTAATAGTATATCATTATGTACATCTCATTTAACATAGCGACGAACATGATAACTTACACCAACTTAACATTTCTGTTACACTTAATTCATTCTTAATAAATGTAGTATTTAGAAAGCCCATAACACTTTGTACAAAATCAAACAATCAACTTAACATGTAACTGATATATTACATTCATGTGTACTTATATTTCATTTATAAATTCCTGTATTAGATAATTGTTGTTATTATTATTATAGTTATTATTATTATATTTATTATTATTATTATTATTATTATTATTATTATTTTATTATTATTATACTCTATACATTCAATATAACAGCACCTGTTACTCATGTGATCGATAGAAGATATGTTGACAGAGAGTAACTTGATGTCGATAAATTATATTGTTTTTTAAGGATAAATGATCATTCAATACAAACATATTCAGAAATCCATATGAATTTCAAAGATCGTTTTTCATTCAAGAGTCAGGTAGTTACGCTTGTTTTTCTTTGACATTTTATTATTTAATATATACGAACAGCTGAAATCGTAATTAGAGGCAAAGTTTGCAGAAGGATCAGAACGGTAGAACAAAACACAATTAATCTACTTGTTGCCGACAGTCATTATAAACTGTTTGAAAAAAGATCGCTTAACATTCCAGAATGAATTGGTAATTGATCCGTACTTCAAGCAATAGTTATGCAGTTATGTATATTGCATATATACCGGAATTAATAAAAACATTCGTACTATGAAAAGTAAAACTACACAATGACTTCCATAAATGGAAATGAGCCGTATGAAAGAAAAAGTTGCGACAATCTACTCGTTCCTTTCGATTTGAATCATCTTCTCTCTTTCTCTCTTGTTTTTTTGCTCGTGCACTCTTACATGCATTTACAAATGACAAAACAAACCACGAAGGCTAGAGCTAGCAATTAGACAAAATATCAAATTGTCCGAGCGTACGCGGAGTTTTACGTAACAACATGTAGGAGGAAAGTGTTCGTTAAAAAAAATAACTGCCGCATTCGCTCTGCTCTTATATTTTCATTCGGAAATGTTTGCATGCACATACTTGGACGCACACACATCCATACCTACATCCACATTTACTCACTTTCAGTCGAGGGTTTTCTGCATGAACGAGGGCCTCGTTACGCGTGTATAACTCCAAGAGAAAGAGAAGAGGAGTTTCGTGAAAAATGTTGCGAGGCTTCATCGTCCTTGGCGTTACCTCCGTTTATTCTCTTCAATGAGTTCAGCGCTCAAGCAGTCACCTCGTGAAGGAGCCTGCATGGAGTAGTAGTAGCAAGAGTGCGAGGGTGCGCGTAGTTGCGCCGCTGTTGCTTGAATTGCCATGTTGCATTGCAGCCGGGTGTTCACCTGTAATCAGATATGTAATCGTTACAAATTAACTCAAAGATATACGACAAGGATATAAGTATGCTTTTTCGACTAAACTTGATTTCATATATAAAAAAATATTGCATTCTTTAAAATTTGAGGAGTTTTTTCTTTAACTGAAACATTTAACGCATGATAGTAATAAATTTATTGTAAATTAATGGTGATACTCATATATTCCGGGTTCGTGGATAGAGCCTAGAATAAGATGGTTCTAGTAATAAAGTATTAGATGTTTTAAAATATTTCTAATGATTTGATATATTTTAAATATATAATTTCTAATCAAAATATATACAGAAGTAAAGAGTAACTTTACAAATATAGTACAATGATTAATGTTTTTTTTAGCTATATAGTTATTATTTTGCGCCATCGATGCTTATAATTTAGTTAAAAATAAATTTCAAACAAAAACAAAGAAGACCACATTTTTATAAATTCGAAAAGGATCCTCTGAAGGATATTTGGTTTCGTATTTTGCATGGAAAATAGAGTCACCGTAGTGTCACGAGGACGTTTCCGCTTCGCGTGATAAGAGGCTGGGTGCTTTCAAGTACACATCATCGATCACGAGAATGCCACTGCGATAAGGTTGAGTAGTACGGTTTCAACTTTGGTCGATGGCTTTCAAAAGCCGTCGATTCTAACATTTTACTTTTTAAATCTATACATGACATAGCGTAACATTGATGCTACGTATTTGTGGCTTCTATGTTTCAAGACAAAAAATAAAGCTATTTCATCTGTTTTACTTTTTATTAGAGATAAGTTTATTTTTAAGTAGAACTGTTATTCGAAGATACATTTCATATATTGTGCTCTTTAATAAACAAGATTTAAGTTACTGTCAGAACAAAATACTATTAATTGCTTTTAAAGCATTATTTGTAAAGTTTATGATTTTTGTAGAGTACGGAAATGATTTAGACCGTTATTACGACACATAATAGTAAAATTATGATATATAAAGTAGCTTTAAGATAATCTACTTCATATATCACGTGGAAGTAGCTTTCAGATAAGCTACTTCATAGATTGAAAGATTATTAAATACTCATGTCAAGCTGTCTAAACTGTACAAGTGAAACTGTTCGTCGTATAGAAAACAAACTTTTTAGCAAAACGATGGAATTAAAAGACAAAGTAAATTAAAGTGGATCGTTCGATACGATACGATAAAAGCGTAATCTACGGAAGAGAGAACCAATCAAATTAGCGATGAAATAGTTTTTCAGAGTAGATTTCAGTGAAAGCCGTTGAAAGGTTCGTAATCACTGCATAGCTCATCAACATTTAATTACTACTAGTCAGGACAAAGAGTGACTATCAAGTAGGCCTTTTAATCAAACAGAATGGACACGATTTTAGTTGTTAAGTATTGTAAATAATTAAAATATTATTAATGTTTTCTATATTTCTATGGTATAAAAAATTTTGAGAGTGAAGATCACTTGAGCAAATTTGATTCGGAAAGCAGCTGTTTCCTTTCAGATTTGAAATACTTATTAGCGCAAGTACTCGGCTTTTCACAATTCAAAAGTATTCTCATTGATATCGAGTTCATTTTTATCGTTATTATCGACTTTTAAAGTCGGTTACTGTACCATACAAATTTATATCACATGCATCGTTGGATTGTATGAATAAAATTCTTTTTACTAAATAAAACAAATTATCAAAAAGGGTTCAAACTTTTTCACTCGTAATCAATATAGCATATAAATTAAAAAATGAACACCCGTGTTATTGTTATTCATATATCAAAATAAATGCAGAAATATAAATCTTTTGTCTCTACTATCAGAAAAGCTAAGTGGTTAAAAAAAATAATAAAACTACCAATGCTTCCACTAGAATATAATCTCTCTCCACTGTATACCTTACAAGTACTTTTGAGATACAAGTAGGCTGTCCATAACTTGAGAGATTATTACGACCCGATTAAAAATGATAAAAATATAAATTCATTTTATACGTACATTATTTTTTAAAATACTTTACAAAATTTGAGAGAACAAAACATTTGGATTTGGTAAGTTATCAGAATAAATAACAAAGACTGCGAATTTAACGATTACAAACTATACTTTGTTTTAACTCTACGAATCACATTGTAAATACAATTGTAAAATTATTTCGAAATCGATTGTAATCGGTCTCACGTTATTATGTTTTCAAGCTTCCGCTTTTATTTTTTGTTTTGCATGTTGCTTATTGTAGCCACTTTCAGTTTTAGTTTTTATTCTTTTTTCTCAAGACTCAATACCAATTACGTAATACCAAGTTAAAACGGCTTATACTGTGTATGAATACTAGTGATAACAGAGACTGCAATCAAATTAATTGATGAGCAAGAATGAAAATAAGATTAATGAAGATAATTTTATTCAAACACTAGGCTTTGAACTTTAGAAAGGCATAAAAATCTCATGGCGAGCAAGGAGAAAGTCATACAAAATGTATAAAGTACGCAAGAATAAATGCCGAAATTCGAATGTCGCTATACAAAATACCCTAACTGTGATCTAATGACTTACTACTGCACTTGCACTTTTCACTGCGGCCAATTTTTGGTAGTCTAACCCCCTTTTTGGAGTTTCAATAGCCGAGGCATCTTTGCCGTTATTGCACAATCTTCCTCTCTTCCGCTCACGCTTTTGCTCGCCTGCCTACCGGTACATGTCTCAGCCTCGTGGCACAACCGTTCCGTCTCTGGGCGACCTGCAATACTCAGGAGAATCACCTCCCTCGTGAGGTCTTTAGCCTTCGAGAAGTTGCCTCCTCGAAGCTGAAAAGGGGCTTCACGGCCACAACAACACCACAATGCGCTCGTCCACGTCCACAAGACGACGCTATTCCATTATAAAAAAATGTTTCGCAATCACGCATGTCGCTTATCCCTTATTTAGTGATTTTTCTTAAGTTTACCATTCGCTTTCTTAATCTAATGCTCGTTCCGGCACACGAATAAAACGCTTAAACTCTAGTTGTTTCTATAAGCGGCTCTCGAAAACAGCCGAGCCTTGTTACCAATATGAATGCGTTAAAGAAAGCGGCCCAAAGCTTTGGGTATACACTTTGGGTAATACATAATGCGCATCTACGATACACACGTGCTGCGCTGCACCCTCCGCGAGTACATTCCCAGTTTTACGATGTCGAACGTCTCGGTACCATCGTCGGAGTTTTCCCGAATTGTTTTACGATTCCCACGTGTCTCACAGACTCGTTTTTTCTTTCTAACTATTTATCGTCTAACGTCTTTAACCTATTTGTATTTTCAACATACAAGCAATTAGTAACGATAAAAATGTTCAAAATGAGAGCTTCATAGTCACAGTAAAAATAATAGTTTTTATGTTATTTTAATTTTTCACTGTTAGGTAACTGATTTAAATGCAGTAAGCCGATTTTTTTAGCCTATTTGCATGCCAGATGTATCTGAAAGTGGTGTAGTGGGGAGAGAGATTCCACGTAATGCATAACAATCATGAACTATTTTATAGAGATAAAAATATTTCAGTTTATAAATCTGATGATCAAGCTTTTGTAATAACTTCAAAAATAACAGTTGATCCTGGTCACTCAATACGTATAACGACTGCACACTCTACACTATATGATTGATAATTGATGTATTAAAGAAAGATGAAACAGGGTACTTGATGTATAATACAAATCTTTCTAATAAATAAAAAAAATAATACAAATCTTAGGTAAACTTAAGAAAGACACGAAAGTGATATTACATTGTATCTTGACTAACTTGATTAAAATGGCATCGATCGAACTGCAATTTTTTCGGCTGATAGATGGTAATCTATTCGATATGCGATTGCGTCTTTTCATGACTCTATACTATAGAAAAAATTTGTTATGAAAACATTCTTATATATGACAGTAAAGCAATTCAAACCAACGATTGAAGTATTGAACACATGTTTTAAAAATAGAACCTGTATTGAAAAGAAAAAGCTATCAAATATATAGTGTGGCCTCAACAATCAAAATATTTTGATAGCTATTAGAATTCCTTGCTACACGAAAATTGTTGCTAGCGCTACCTCGATGTAACGGAATATAAGAATATATATAGTATTACATGCGATGTCTAGGGGAGATTTGTTCCGCGCGCTTTCGAAACTGAGAAGCGCTAGCGTCAGGGGGGGGGGGGGCTAGAGAGAGAGAGAGAGAGGCGGAGATCGGCTTACAGCCAAAACTTTGTGTAGAGCAATATGCCAAGAGAATTCCGATCAAAATTGCTATCATACACAGGCTTGCGAGGGTTCGCGAATCGCGACACACCCATGCAATCGCACGTGACCATTTATCTCAACTGCATCGCTACGCAGTGAAGTATATAATGCAGGTAAGTATATATCTGGGAAGATAGGAGGAAAGAGAGAGAGAGAGAGAGAGAGAAAACGATAACGTTTTTGGTACCGAATGGACCAAATTTTTCCGGTAGGCCGTTAATTTACGGCTTACGATTCGGGAGCTCGTGCGAGTGCAAGGAAACCACCATTTCTCAGGGCCAAAAGCATAAAAAGTATCGCTGGCGCTATATCATCGTTACTACGATTCCGAGAAAGTAAGCGGGCGCGCGAGAAAACGACTGATTAATTCGAACGCCCAGTGACGCATAGCTCGCGCATATTTTATCAGCCGACCTGACTCTTTGCAGCGGACGCTCGCGCTTACTCGACACCTGATTAAGGAGTCTCATTTCGGCTGCTGCTGCTGACGGACTCGCCGCCTTTCATTTGATGCGAATTTGCAAGCTTAACCCATCCCCTCAGAAGGTCTTTTGGCTATTTTTTAAAATTGCAATATGAAAGCTTTCAACGTCACTTCATTTCCAAGTTTAATTTCAGGTTATCTCGACTTTTCTGCCTTGCTGGAAATAACATGGATATGCATGTTTCTAGTAACTTAGAGAAAATATAGGTCAGTTCAGATTGTACTGCCTTGTGCCA